TTAAAACATTTTTTTCTGCATTTGGTATAAAACAGACTCCAATTTGGACAATCTCAGGCTCCCTCCCCACGGAGAGGTGACATTCAATGTCCCACTGTCAGTCTGGATAGCCGTGACCACCACCCAACACACAATAATGTCATGAAAGCATCATTTTAAAAAGGGCTATGCAAACATGGCCAATAACTTTCATTCTAAGATGTGCAAAATGATTTGGGCACAAAACAAATTTTGCTGTTAGAAAACTTGCAGACTTCACTATATACAGTGTAGACCCTCTAAACTAAGTTTGGGGGATGTGATCTTTCAAGAAATGCAGACAAACTGTTGTTGTTTGTTTACTTACACAGCATGTCTTGTAGAATTAACTGGAGTCACCAGCAACAGCATAGTGCAGTCATATCTCAAGTCTAATAACAGAAGACAGGAAAAGATCAGTAAGAAACAACTTCCCCAAACCAAAGCACAAATAAAACAATAAGTAAAACAGGCTGATCTAAAGTATGATTAAAGTTCAGCCTGATTAATATAAATGTCACTGACAGTTGCTAATATATTGGAAAACCAAAATACTTACTGATGTCTTTCTGTCCAACAGCAGGAGTGCTGGTCCCGAGCCTCAAAGACAGTAAGAAGCAAGCAGAGGGAGAAAAAACAGAACATTTTTCAGAAACTGATTTGATCCTTAATGGCTGTGCAATCATAATAACTTACAACACAGAGGGTCAATGTAGACCCCATACAACCAAATTAGACTAACACATATAGTATTAAAAACACCATCTACTACTGTGTCTGAATGTGTGGTATTGGCACTGTCAGTTTAGGCCTAAAGAGATATGTGTTTAAAAAAAGACCACCTAATTTAAATATAATCATTACATGCTTGTTAAAAGTTAACTTCCAATATATAAAGTTTCTAATAAGCAAAATGACCAGATCTAACATATGGCAGGGTTTATATGTAACATAATGTTTCTTATGATTCAACTGTGGAATTTAACTTAATTCTTTAGAAGGACAAGCTATATTACTTTATTCTCAAGTATAAAGCCAACCTAGACTTTAACCATTTAACAGGCCACTAATCTGGATTATAGCTTTCACAACAAAACTTGTTTTTAAACACATTTTTAACAAAACAAATACTATTGTTATTATTTAAAATGTAATTAAACAGAAAAGTCGTTAAATATAAAAGCAGTTTGCTTATGTTGTTAAATAAAGTCTAGATTTGACATTAATAGATGCCACAGATGTTCAAAAGCTGCCACAAAGCATTAAAAAAAATAGACGTCTTCCAAAACGTTGGAGCATTTTTGCAAATATGTGATGTCTTGATAAATCGAGCAGATACTTTACACAGCTACATTCTCGCCTGAAAATATCTTAAAAGTTTATTTTGTGACCCAGAAAGTAATATTTAAAAGTTTTTTAGCGCGCTCCTCCGCCATTGCCGCGTTAGTTTACGAAATGCATATTTAGCTGTACCACGTCCCTCGAAGTCCACACAAGTCACGATACATGCTCGATAAAACGAGGAGGAGCAAAAACACATCCCGGAATTTTTCGCGTTCTCGCTTCATGTGTACTTTGAACTGGAACAGTACTTGTTCTCCAACGTATCACAAGTCCACGAGACCACAAGTACACATAGACAGGCTCCGACAACCACGGCCTCCTTTTCCCCAGACTACCCTTTCTGGGTCACAAAATAACCTTTTAAGATATTTTCAGGCGAGAATGTAGCTGTGTAATGCTCAAATATCTACTTAATTTATCAAAATATCACATATTTGCAAAAGTGCTTCCACGTTTTCGGAGAGCTCTGTTATCCACCAGTGCGATAGCTGACCGGGAGGTCAAGGCTTCGATAAGAGTCCGACGGGAGAGCTCTGTTATCCACCAGCGCGATAGCTGACCGGGAGGTCAAGGCTCAATAGAGTCTGTGAGCACAGCTCACTGCTGGCTTATTATTTTCAACCCCCCTGCGGTCTTTTGCTACTCAGGTTAAACATGATATAAATAATGTTAGTTAGTTATGGCTATGGATTGAAAATACCCCCCACACCACACCCCTAACGGCTGCACCTCCCGAAAATTTTGTCTGGGCTCTTATCTCACTTTTTTATTTCAAACAATCAACAGAAAATTTCACAGACATATTTTTATATAAGGTTTTTAAGGCTGTGGTGTTAATTTTTAAGTAACATGAGCCCAGCCGCAGCAGCAACGCTAGGCTAACACTAACTAGCTAGCAAGATTATAAACCTGGTGCTAAACTAAGAGAAGCCACAAAATCAGTTTGAATAAGAGTAAACATTTACTCACCAAGTCAGTGTATCAGGTAAAGATCCACAGCAATGACAATAATCTCTTGAGCTGACGCTTCTCCAGGTTTGCTCAACATATTCCATAACAAATGCACCATGAACATGCGGACTGATCCGAGAGGGAGGAGGACGGTAGTGTTTTCAAAACACATCTTTCATCCTTCCGCCCTGAGAAGCAACATTTCCAGCTTACTTAGGTTTTCTAAGTTAAGAAAACTCAAATAAATTGAGTTGATCAGCATTTTTGCATAAAAAGTACTGGTAAGTTACTTAAATTGAGTTCTAATAACAAATTGATAAAAAACTGAGTTCTGCCTACTTAATATTTTTAATTAAACACAATATTACATTTTACAGTGTAGGAACAGCAAAGATACTACGCAGGACCCTCAGATTCCCAGCCCTCCGGTAGAAGACCCAAACTTGAAGGATAGACTGCCCGCAGGGACGAGAGGGGAATTTATATATTGCATGCTTCCTGTGACTGTGAAGGCTTAGGTTCTTAGGTTTTCTTTAATGCCATCTTTAATTCCATTCTCAATTATAATTTAATTATATTAAAACAACAATCAGTAAATGAATTAAACACTAAACATAAAAACAGCTGAGATTCTTTTTAAATCATGACTGGGTAACAGGATCAGGAAAGCATTGCAGCAAGATTGTGAGGCCTCCTCAGTAGATTATCATAGAGATTGTTTGTCAAATGATTTCTGTGCATACACAGGTTGCGTTGATGTCCATGTGCTGTAGAGCTAGACAATCGTCTGCAACCCTTACAATGTAATCTACATATACCACCATTCTTATTCATTATTATTAAGATATTGGTCCTCACAGTATATAAATATTTTATTACTACATTGTACTACCACAAGAGTATTCAAAAGCCAAATAGCAAACTCCTGTCAGTTTCCTGTTTTTTAGATGAGCTGTTACATTTTCTTACAACTAAATTTTGGCCTGGCTCTGTCTTTGGTTTGTGTATATCACCTCATTTTTTACTCCTGAGAAGTCAAAGGTATGTCAGGAGTGGCTTCGTGTGGTGATGATTTTGTCTTCCTTGAGTTTATCTTATCCATCTGCATGTTTCTTAAACATACCTCAATGTTTGATTTTGGATATTAAATATTCAAAATTATTATTATTTGATTTGACCTTAAACTTTTCTGTCCCTCGTATGTGTGAATAATTTTGTTTATATTATAATATGATTGGATTTATTCAATAAAAAGAGAAGCTATTTTAATGTAGTTGTTATCAAGGACATTTTATTCTTTTTTCAATTTAATTTTATAATTTGATGCTTTCTAAGCGTTTTGAGACCAAAACTTCTTTCTGTTAGTTATTAATGGACAGACACAACATAAAAATCACGTAGTCTGCAGTGACTTACCCTCCTCAGTAAATCCAGTAAATGCAACCTGGTTTCATTATTTGTTCTGTGTCTTTTTTCTATTAAAGAAGAAGCTAAATTATGGTGAAATGATTGGTGGAGAGATTACTACTACTGTCAGTAATCCTGAAATTTTCTTTGTAATTCTTTGAAGCTATTATGTTGTAATAGTTTAACATAAATATGTAACATAAAATAATATCAACAGTTCAGTTCAGTTTATGCCAAGAATCACTTAATAGCTTAGGTTTAATTCTTAGGTTGCTTATTGTTTAAAGGTTTGCCTTGGTGTTTATTCCCTCAGTTTTTTCACAGCATTCCTGTCTCTGGGAATTCCCCTATACTTAGCTCAGTTCTGCCTGTGTTTATCTGCTAGTTTTTGCATCTCACTTCTTGTTTTATTTTGTTATCACTTGTGTATTGTGCTTAACCTATTTACCTATCTGGTTACCCTCTTTTAGTTAAGGTTGGTTTAGTTCTTTAGTTCTGTGTCATCTCATTAGCCCTTGCAGTGTGTATTTAAAGCCTAGGGACATGTAGGTAGAAAACAGCAGAAGTTCTCTGTGTAGGACATGAGGAGACGGATGTAATTAGTAAAGCAAGTAAACTACAGCTTCACAGCTCATCTTCAAGCCATTGAGCATTCGTTTTCAGAACCTTAGTTTGCACTGTTTGTAACTTGTGCTGATAAAAATGAAAGTGTCTCATTGATGGTTATTGATTATATTATTGTATCCTTCCTCAATGAAATTATTTGTTGGAAGTCAAAATATTTGGTGTTGTAAATTAACCTCCTGGACCTGGCGTCCACATATGTGGACATCACATTTTGGGTTATTTAGACCAAATACTCAATTTAGCTCTACAAAGGCCTGATATCCACTCACGAGGACGTTATACTGCTACTGTTCTATTGAAATTTTAAACAAATATCCTCATATGTGGCTCTCATTTTTCTTAGAAAAAAAAATTAAAAAAGAAAAAATCTGGTAATTCTTTGTTTTTACATTCATCAGGTCCCAATCAGCCCAAATATCAAAGAGAAATTAAAAATGCATGCCGTGGAAGAGTTCAGGTCTTAGGAGGTTAAACTACCAACATTTTAAACAAGTAAAACTGAAAAGTGTGTTGGGCTTGGCAGACATTTGCACCCTTCTCGTTCAGAGTTGATTTTGACGCTCTACTTTAACTGTACATAGTGATGGATTATATGGGGCTTGAGCTGCATCTACATAAAGACTTTTTTAATCTGTCTATTTTATGTTCATCAGGGGACAGTGAAGGCTGTGCTATTGGTTCCCAGGGACTCCGGGTCCCCACCCAGAAGTCCTATTCCTCCAGTGAAACACTGAAGGCTTTTGACCAGCACCAAGACCAGACCAGGTTAGAAAATAGATGACACACATATTATCTTCTGTTTTGTTGAGCAATATCAGAACTGTGTCAAAAATGTCAAAAACACAAACTGGCGTGATTAGAATGTCTTTTCTGTATGTGAGTAGCTCTATTTATTCCTCTGTGTAATTCACCTTTGTAAAACAGCTGGCTGAAAATCTACCGTATTAATTATACTCTATTGAATAAACCTACATATATGGGAATTTATAAGCAAAGTTTATTTCTACTTAATTAGGTTGACGTAGACCTTCCTCAGTCTTGGCCAGCTGCCGCTTTTCCCAACCTTATAAGCAGAACATTTGCATTATGACCGAAACTAGCACCACTGACAAGAACGGGCCATGAGGTCAGCCTTGACCATCGATGAATGGTCACAGAGGGAGTCGGGGCCTTTTTGGATATGATGCTCTTCTTCTTCCCTAGCCATTGTGTCTGTGGTGATGGTGTTCGCTCTGTGTTGTGTCATTTTGATGATATTTGTGTCCAGTGGATGATGAGACTATATTATTAAAAAAATTCCCCTCTCACCCCTCCCGTCTGTCCTTCAAGCTCAGGTCCTCTACCAGAGGCCTGGGAGCTTGAGGGCCCTCGCAGTATCTTAGCTGTTCGTGGGACTGTGCTCTCCTGAGATCTCGGATGTTGTTTACCATGCACATCGACTTTAAATGTCCCCCATTACTCAAGGAAATCTCAGTCTAAGAAGGCTAGCCTGTCATTTTTCATATTCTTCTAGTGAAATTAATGTATTTGTCCACCAAGTTAACGTGACCAGTAAATTGTGGTTGTAGTTGTGAAACGTGTCTCACTGTCCACATAAACAGAATCAACTTTCTGGGATTTTCTTACCTCGATGACTCAGCATGCATAAAGACATTCAAATACAATATTCTTAGTATAGACATTTATTTAATCATCTTACAGTAATCATTACTTAATGCTGTTTTGTATAATTCCAGTAAATATATGTTGGTTAATTTACTAGTAGGGGTGGGCGATATAAACAATATACGATAGAAACGATATAAATTTGGCCAACGATAGAGATTTTGACTATATCGCTCTATCGCGATAGCGCATGTTGATGATGTCATCAAGCTGCGCCTGTTTTGGTCGAAAGCATCGCAGCGGCTACAACCATTATCATCTGCAAATTATGGGCGGACAGTCATAGCAAAGAGATGAAGCACTTTTGAAATATGGGGAAAGCCAAAAACTGCGCTTCCTCCACTTCCGTAACATTGATTCATTAATGTTGAATTCTCTCGCAGCTGCTCTATTCCCATGTTGTTGCAGTATATTAATGACTAACCTCGTATTGTGGATGAATAATCTCAGTTGTTCTCCTGACTGAAGTTTGGCCCGTGTACAGCATCCTGCTATGCGATTGCATTTGTCCCTGACCACCAGAATCCCTCACGTTAACTTTTATCGAGTGGAAAAAAGTTGGCGTTCATCCTCCAGCTTCACTGTGCTAATGTTATGCTAACATAGCTGTGTCGCTAGCAATCACGTAGCACAACATTATATACCAGCTAGCCCAACTTCAGTAACCCTGCAAACGCCACTGCTGTTTAGTTTTCTGTCTTCATTTATGTTGGAAGTGACAGCAGAGCTGTACGCTTGAATTAGTTTCAAAAATCTCTCAGAACATGGTATGAAATGTTTAGGTGGAAACTAGCAGCTAACTTCCTGTTAACTTCTAACTCCGTTAAATTTAATAAATTCTGTTTTCATGGATGCCTGGATGTTAAACTTAATTGTTACACCTGGTAAAGCAGCAACGCTGATGATTTTATTAAAGATGAAAGAATTTAGACCGTTTTTAACTCTCAGTGTTTTTGACTTTGGGACCTGAAGCGGACGGAGTTTTGGACCCAGATTACTCCGCGAAGCTCCTCACTACGGCAGCCGTAATGCTCTGACGATCCATCAAGCAGTGCGGCTTACCAAAGTTGTACTAAAACATTTTTAACAGATTTCTGCAGCCAAAATCGGTTCGAGGTCAGTAAGCACAACCAGAATTCATACATAAGGCACACTCTCGATTTTTGAGAAAATTAAAGGATTTTAAGTGTGCCTTATAGTGTGGAAAATACGTTATACAGAAGAAAAGAATATATCGTGATATATATCGTTACCGCACGTGCTTCAAATTATATCCGCGATATGGATTTTAGGCCATATCGCCCAGCCCTATTTACTAGTATCAGTTTTTTCATCATAAGAATTTGCACTTTGTCTGTTTTTCACTTTGATACATTCAGTTACATAACATTCATAAAAAAGCAGAGTGTAGTTTGTTTCCTGTATTTTTGATGATGGTATAATGATGATGTGGTAGTTGTATAGTTCAGAACATGGATCATCAAAAGCCTACAGCGTGTGTGCAGCACCTTCCTTTATCCTTTTTGCCCTTGGCTTTTGACAGGTTACTGTACGGGACAACCAAGGGACACAAGGACATGGTTCACCATGAAAAGGATGATTTTAACAGACAAGGTGAGAGTCTGCAAAAGTGCACAGACAGCAATGCTATCCCCATCTATTTGTATGTGTGCACTAAGACCAACAAAACTACTGTAAAAAAGATATTTCCATCAGTTACTTTAGAAATATGAATTGTCTTTCTTTAAAAATATGATTACAATGTAGAGACATTAAAGTACATATAAATGAAATTTAAACAACCTAGAATTGTATGCATAAAATTTGCATAACCTAACATTAAAAGTATATATGACAGGAGTCCAGAAAGAGGATGGAAGCATATGATAATAAGTCTGAAGGCTATAATCGCCCAATGAAAGTGAAAAAGTGAGAAAAGAGAAAAATCACACAGTAAAATGAATAAAAATCAACAAAAGACTAAACAACAGTATACGTTATTGAACATATAATAGAAAATTAGTCTTGCTGTGCTGTTAATCATAGAATGATTTTATAACTGCTGATTGAAAATGAAGCACACACTTAGATTTTAAATATGTTTTTAAGGAGTATCCTGTTATTTGAAAACGATTTGAGCTCAATTCCAGTTACTCCTCATCCAATTAAATGTAATTAAATCATATGAAATACAGATATCAAAGAAACAGCATTTGAAATAGAAAATTGAATTTTATTTATTTACTTTTATTTACTATTTAGTGTCTTCATTCTGTTGTATTGCATCTATTTTTAAATTATTGCAGATTTTTAATACAAGAGTACAGGAGGGAAAAAAACGCAGACTTTACTTAGACTACTTTATTCCCATGTTACAGTCATTATTGAGAAAAAGTAATGTATTACATGTTACGCATTACCTTTCTTAAAAGTAATGCAGTACCTCACTTAATTACTCATCATAGAAAGTAATTTCGACAATACGTACGTTACTTTGTTATTCTGTAAAATGCCCTGAAACACATCAGTTATAAATAAACCTGAGGCTACAATCACACACCAACACAGATCCCTGTCTTACTGAGGAAATACATGCAATCTTTTTTATGTATGAGCACACACCTGACAAACCAAGATGACAACTAGCCCAAACAGACTTCAAGGCAACTGCAGTGATTCTAGGATAGAAACGTTATTGCTCGTCACTGCCTTTGTTACCTGTCAAAGCTCAGGCTCTGACAGGAAAGCTAGGATCATCAGACACTCAGCGTAAACATGATTCTGGGTTTCTCCAAAAGTTGATTCTGGACGTAGCGTTTTGTGGGAGAAACGTTTCGTCACTTTCGCCATGAGTACCATCTGTGAATGGCCATTGATCAGTGGGTTTTGATCAGTGGTTGCTGATCAATGGCCATGAGAATTTGCATAATTAAGACTAAGGAACTGAGCTCCCAGCCCATTGTTCCTTCAGTGGGCTGGTTTCAGTCATCATGCAAATGTCCTGTTTATAAGATTGAAGCCTGCAGTCAGCTGAGACTGAAGACGACGAAACGTTTCTCCCACTGAAAACATCCAGATGAACAGAATCAGCTTTTGGAGATGTTCTTACCTGGATGATTGAGCGTGCATCAAGATGATTCTGGGTTATTGGCTGCCCTGAATACATTCTTGTTGTTTTATTTTATATCAGGCTCCTTCTTTTTAGACCACTCCACCTCCCGCACACATACTTAGCTTGTTATTTAGAAACCTTCCAAATTTGACTACAGTGAGTTGGGAAAGTGTCGGTACAAACGGTAAATGTTTTTTAATGTTATTCACTGTTTAAAAAGCTGTTGAGCTGTTAAAATCAATAATGTTTACTATTATCATATAATTATTTATTATTATTTTTCACTTACTGCTTTTACTGTAATAACACTAATAATGAGTAAAGGTTGTCATTTAATTAGCAGTAAAATTGATCTTTAACTCTCTAATTTACATCTGAGCAAACTGTGTACAAAACTAAAGCACAGCTTCATATTGATTATATTAAACATGTACATGTCACTGTGAGCTGCACCACCATACATGAGACTGAAAGCACTTATATTCTCAACGTCTAACTGGATTTGAGGCACCTTTTGTCTGGTTTGTCTTCTGAGTTATTCATTCAGTCTCATAAGAATTGCTTTGTCAAAGATTCCTCACAGACTTGTTTGACTATTTTTCCATAGCTGTCTTCCACCTGCTGTATATACACTGTATTGCCAAAATTAATCACTCGTCTGCCTTCACACATATATGAACTTGAGTGAGATCCCGTTCTTAATCCATAGGGTTTAATGTGATGTCAGCCCACCCTTTGCAGCTATAATAGCTTCAGTTTTTCTAGGAAGGGTTTCCACAAGGTTTAGGAGTGAGTTTGGGGGAATTTTTGACCATTTGCAACATCTGACAATGATGTTGGGCGAGAGCCCCTGGATCTCAGTCTATATTTCCAGTTTATCCCGAAGGTGTTTGTCAGGTTGAGGTCAGGACTCTGTCCTTGTGCATTGGTGCACAGTGCTGTAGGAAGAGGAAGGGGCCACCCCCAAACTGTTCCCACATAGCTGGGAGCTTGAAATTGTATCTTGTTATGCTGAATATTAAGATTTGCTTTAGTTGAACTAAGGGGTCAAGCCCAACTCTGAAAAACAACTCCACACCATATCCCCTCACCAACAAATATAACACTGGACAGCGAAGTAACATTCTCCTGGCAGTCGCCAAACTCAGATGCCATCATATTGCCATACAAAGAAACACGATTTGTCACCCCGGAGATCAGATCCCCACTGCTCTAGAGTCTACTGGAAGTCTGCTTTAGATCACTTCATCCAATGCTTTGCGTTGTCCTTGGTGATATGAGGCTTGACTGCAGCTGCTTGGTCATAAACTCACATTCGATGAAGTTTTCTATTCAATTCAGTTTTATTTATATAGCACCAAATCACAACAAGTCGCCTCAAGGCGCTTTATATTGTAAGGTCGACCCTACAATAACACATACAGAGAAAAACCCAACAATCATATGACCCCCTATGAGCAGCACTTTGGCGACAGTGGGAAGGAAAAACTCCCTTTTAACAGGAAGAAACCTCCAGCAGAACCAGGCTCAGGGAGGGGCGGGGCCATCTGCTGCGACCGGTTGGGGTGAGAGAAGGAAGACAGGATAAAGACATGCTGTGGAAGAGAGACAGAGATTAATAACAGAGACACTGTTCCTGAATTAATCTGAAGGCCACATCAGGTTTGAAGGTCTGTAGCAACTGACTCTGCAGAAAGTTGGTGACCTCTGCATACCCAGCACCCCGGTCTGCGATTTAACATGGCCTACCACTTTGTGGCTGAGTTACTGTTCTTCTCAATCGTTTGTAGAAGCAGTCTGCATGCCTAGGTGCTTAAATTTATACACCTGTGGCCATGGAAGTGATTGGAACACCTGAATTCAATGATTTGGATGGGTGAGTGTACACTGGCAATATAGTGTATATTTTATGCCATAGTCACACCATCTCTGTGTATTAGAGCTATAGTCATTTGCGATGATCTAATGATTTCTAAATGATTTGAACACGGCCATCTGTTTCAGGTCAACACTTCAGTCTTCGTCAGCTGGGGATCTGTGAGCCACCGTCTCGTCGCGGCCTGCCTTTCTGCCCTGAAATGCCTCCACCCCACCGTGGTTTCTCAGTTGGTACAGCTCAGGAGCTAGACACTGATAGTCAGGCAGTCATGTCCCCAGAGCATGCTATGCATCTGTGGGGCCGCGGAGGTCTGGGTAAATCATCCGGGAGGAGTTCCTGCCTGTCGAGCCGCTCCAACTCAGTGCTGACTCTAACTGACACTGAGCACGAGAACAAATCGGACAGCGACAATGGTAGGAGATCAACTGTTCGCTCCATTTTTGATATCATGTCCTGCTTTGTGCTCAAGTAACAGTTCTTATTCATCTCTGTCATACTTAGAAACAACAGTTAGCTCGGTCTTTCTGATTCAACTGTTGTGTAGCTGATGGGGTAGACATCCTCGTGGGCCAACTTGAAAGTAACGTTATACTGTTAAAATGCTACAAGAAATCCAGTTGCACTTTTACTTTTTAAAATCTCTTTTGGGGCCTTTTGCCTTTTATTGGATGCTGCCGTAATGGAGAGTCGACAGGAAAGCAGGGAGAGATTGCAGGGGAAGGCGCGTAGCAAGGGGCCTCAGGTCAGACTCAAACCTGGGCTGCTGAATGTCATGCAGCACATGTTTGCCTTCTTCAGTCTCAGTAGAGACGAGCACAGCTGGTTCTAGCACCAGCTGCTACACTATTTAGACAGAAATGTATATAAACGTATATAACTTTATTTCACAGTTTGGTCAATGATAGTCATTTATCTGTTCATGTAATGGAATAGTAGACCTCTTTCAGTAATTACAAAAAGCAATCTAAAACTATCAGCTATTGTTATTAGAGGATCATAAGTTGTAAATAAAAGCATTGATAACAATTTCCAAACATGTTACTTTACCTAATTCTGATATTTGGGGTTTATGTAAAAATGTATTAATTGCAACCATTAAGTTGTTTAAGACAAAACAGCACAAACATGGATTTGAGAAACTTAGTTCTCTGACATTTAAAGTGATATCCAAGATTATTGTGCACACTCCCAGGAAGTGTCCCGCATGGTGGTCGAGCGGGGGGCAAAACCAAAAAGCCCTGCCAGTTAAATGTACGAATATCTGGCAATTCAAGGCTGCCTGGTGAGAATCTATTCAATTTTCAAAGGCAACTGTTGCTTCTGAGACATGCTGCAAACTGATTTTTATAATTATCTCAGTTTAAGTATTTGATATGTTTTAATTACTATTTTAAAGAAGTAGTTCGCACTGTTGCCGTACAGGTGCTGAGTTTGAATCTAAGAGGTGGCTGGGGCCTTTCTGTGTGCGTGTTGTGTGCTCTCCAGGTGCTCTGACTTCCCATCACATTCCAACACATCCATGGCTGTAAGTTAATTGGAGAGTTTAAAGTGGCCATAGGTGTGACTGTGAGCATGAGCAGTTGTCTGTTTGTGTTAGTCCTGCAGTGGTTCGGTGACCTGTACAGGATGTACTCTGCCTTTCACCCTGTGACAGGATACGCTCAGCCAAAGCCAAGGCACTGAAACAGATAAGCCGAACAAGATGAAGGGATGGACTTTCATCACGTCATTTCACCCAAAGAAAATAAACTGATTTGGTTGAGTGAATAAATTGTTGAAACTTTAACATAATTCTAGTGTAGAACAACAGACATGAAGTCTGAACCTAAAGGATTTGCAATCACAAAACATGTTACGCTTAATTCTCTCCCTCTTTAGAATCATCTCT